GTTGCTTCGGTCCAAGGTAGCTTCTCCGTATGCCACAGTCAACATTCGGAATGCATCCTCGCACATAATTTCCTTTTTCACACAAAATTTGATATAGGTTCTTTGATCCATTTTTTTGAATAGGTAAAAATCGAAGACCATCCGAAACTCGTGCAAGCAAAGCAGCTGTCAACAATTAAGTGAACATTCAAAATGGCCGAGCTTGTCGGCAACCCTTTTCAGAAATATTTTAATATTTTAAAAAGGTTTGCCACATCTTCTTGAACTTTTAACGTGTCCCTACTGAAACCTGCTCAGTTCTGCAACATTACTGCTAGCTTATATTTCAAATATAATAAAATTTGACGAGAGCATTCTTTAAGTAAGTCATTGTACTACTAAATTTCATTTTTTTATTTTTTATTAGAAAATAAATTTTTTATTTGAAATAAATTAAAATTTTTAATAAGCATTTCAAAAAATATGTTTTTCCACTCTGCGCCTTCTAAATCTCTTTAGTTTTATTGTAATATTCTAAAGTTTAATATTTTAAAAATTTTATTAGATCGAAAGTGTAAATATATGTCAACTCCCTTCTTTAAATATTTTTCTCTAATATTCGTTAATTTTTCATCAATATTATCCATTTATTTTGTTAATTTGATTAAATAAAAAATTTTAAGGGAGGGCAATTACTTCAACAAAAAAATCTTCCCTTGGTGGCTTTTCGAGCCACTCAGGTTTATACTTTGTATTATTAAATATCATGAACTTTCTCAATATTTGGCAGCATTCTAAGCCAATATGTGATTTTCACTTTCACTTTTTTAAATCTCTTCAGGTTAGCGCTATATTCTTATATTTAATTTATTTACCAATTTATTTATCTAAAAATTTTAATAGTTTGGCAACCCCTTCGCTGAGGAGTAGTATCTCAACAACATTCTTAAGAAAACTTCTTGAATCGTGACGCTTGATATTGTCATTACTTTAATTTTAGCAGTTCAGTTTTCAAAAAGATATGGCAACTACACCCTAAAAAAACCAGTCCTTGATGCTCAGTCATTTCGAAAAACAGTCCCTTTCGAACATATGAAAACAGTATTTAACTTTTTTTAAAGACTTTTCGAGTAATTGCTTAATTATTCCCCTAACTGTGGGCAATTAAAAATATTAAATCTGTGCCTTGGTTGCATTGTTGAAGCCAAAAAAAAATGAAAATAATTTATTGTCTAATTTAAGCGCGTTTTATAGAAGTTTAAGAGATCTTTTAAAAATAATAATAAAATATTATTATAATTTAATGTTAAAAATCTTTTATCATGCGCCTCGAAACAAGAAAAATAAGAGTATTGACACAAATTATTATCCTTTCACGTTATATGTCGAGTAAATAAAATGGTGCAATTTAATGGTGAAGCTTCTACAATGGAATATAATAATATTTACATATATCCAAATGCAATGTCCACCACTTTAATAGCATGTGACACTTTCGTATACGCCTGAAAGTATGCAGCAGAGAATTTTGCATGTAACCAGTAAATAAAGGACTCGATGAGTAGAGTGTATAAAAAGGAGCTGAAATTTAAAGACTAAGTGTTAAGCTTCGAAGCACATTGCGCCTTAAAGTATACAAAAGAAAACTACAAGTACCTCCATTCATTCGATTGCAAACACGAAAGCATAGCCAATTCCATTACAACCCTTTCAGTCTTTAGTGCTTTGTGCTGGCCAATATATAAATAAGCTTATTTTACAGTCTTGTATGCGAAATATACGTGATGCGGCGCGCAGCGCCACCTATTGGTCTATAACCTACAAACTTTAAGGCCTTAAGGCATTTTCTTACTTTTATTTCACTGCTTTTATGACAGTTTTTATACGCGAAAAAAGTAAGTTTGAATTTTCTTATTACCCATTTTTTGTACGGTATTTTTTAAAACTTTTCTTCTTAGCGCTGACAAAGCAAATTGGGTTAATATGAAATTACGTATTAAATGACAAAATTACTGCCGCATCACATGTCCGCTTTGGTAGAGTTGGCAGATAATTGGATGAGAAGGTAATGCGGTCTTCGCGGTTATTTTTGGTATTAAATTGTATGTCAATACACGATACATACATGTATATATATATATATATAGACTTACCTGTCTTTTCAAATTGAGCACGAGTCCTTCGACTTGTTTGCCGGAACTGAATGCCTGCAGCAGGCCATTGTGGAAATCATCGTTGCCGTAGAGACCTGTAAAATGGAAAAAAGAAAGAAAAAAAAATCAAATGTAAAGAAATTGGTTGACACCAAATTGCATTAGGTAATAGTTAGTAATATAACGGAGTGCATTATTGTGCAACTGGCGGGGGTATAACATACATTAAGGCGCTGTTACAATGCATACGTAATTGATTCAAATAAAAATCAAATAAAATTAAAAAAATAAAAAAATAAAACGGAATATAAGTAAATAAAATAAAATAAAATTAAAGTAAATCAAAAAAGGAAAAAAAGATAGTAAAATTAACATTAAAACAGATTAAATTTATTTAAAATAAAATTAATTTAAATAGAGAAAATAAAATAAAAATAAATTAAAATAATAAAACTGAATTGAATAAAATAAAATCAATCCAAGGAAATGAATTAAATTTAAATAAAAATATGAAATATTTTAAGAGAAACAAAAGAGAATGAGAGAAAATAAACAGTTAATTCATTAGAAGTAAAATTAAATAAAAGAAAATTAATTAAAGAAAAATGATAAGATAAATTAATAAAATTAAATAAAAGAAACTATAGTAAAATAAAACAAAATAATATTAAGCAAGTAAAAAATATAAACAAACGGAATAAAACTAAATGGAAAACTAAAAAAATAAAAGAATCAAAATCAAAGAAAAAATGAATGAAAATGACATACAATTTAAAAATCAAAGAGAAGTTAAAGGAAATAAATTAAAAATTATAATGATATAAAAAATAATAAACTAAATCAGATTAAATCAAAATTAAATTGAATTGAATAAAAGAAAATTAAATATTTTTAATAACTAATTAAAATAAATTTAGTTACTTAAAAAAAGTATAAATCGATATAATATATAGCGAAATAAAATTAATTAATAAAACTAATTAATTAAATTAAGAAAATAAAATAATATAAAGTAAATTCGAATTTAAAATAAAATAAAATAACAGAAAAAATATAGATAAAATAAATATCAATAACATTAAAATAAATATATAAACTTAATAATTAGAACAATAAAATAAAAATGTTGAAAAAAACCAACTTTTGAACATATAATTTCGATTTCAATTTAAATGCTTAATTATAGTAAATCTTGTCAATTGATAGCATCAAAATCTAGTAATTATTAAGAATTTCACAATCAATTTCATAAACGCCCAAAAGTATGCAATTATGAATATCTAAAATACACTCAGAAAAACTTCAATAATTGCATATATGCATTACTACCTAAATAACTACACTCAAACAAATCTGCCATACGCATTAATTTGTTGAGTGCTTTTAGTAAATAAGTGAATGCTGGCTTTGCTGGTTACATAGTTAGGCTTAGAGTTTGTCATTTGCAATTGCATAATTCTAGACATACCGGTGTTGGCCAAATATACTGCGTACGAAATAAATAAGCCTGCCTGAGATTTTACTCTTCCCGTCCCCCTAACTAATGCCAAATAGGTCAAGTATGCAACAGCATGAGCAAACACTTATTGCAAATATGGTTAATGCTGAGAAATAAAGTCTAAATTTAGGTGCAAAATAAATATTTACACAGATTCTATGTGGTTTATGTTTGCTGGAAATTTGTTGAGTGACTTGTTTGGGATATATATTTAAATTATTATTTATTTAATTTAGTAAGGCTGTTGCATCTATAATATAGATTTTAGTTAAAGTGGTACTTATTGTGCCTAAATGTATGCTTAAAGCTTAGAGAGTGTGCTTTTATTTGAGATAGCTAGTCTTAATTATACTTCGAATATGCAATTTCCACTTAAGTCAATAGAAATTTTCCCAAAATCATACATCATATATACCCTGCTATCTGATTGACTTTCCAACAGATACTCTTGCCGCCAATTTTGACGATGGATTTTAAGAAAGCTGTTTATTTCTACACACTTTTTTGTTAAATTAAAAAAAAAATTGTACTAGATGCATGAAAATAAGGCGAGAATGAAGAATAAACTTAGGCAAGAAAACAAAATAGTGCAAAAGTATACTTCCCCGCCTACAATTATGCAAGACCATGCACCGCGCATGAAAATACAATGAGAAAACGTCGTCTGTATAATGGGTAGCAAGCATTTAATATGAAATACAAACAGAACGAAGTGTTTGTTAAATTTTTCAACAATGTTTTTAATGCTTGCATACTTTTGTGCGCTCACAGCTATGTTCATTTATATATGTAGGTATATTTATTTTTTTACTTTTTAGTTGTACTAGGTTATGAAATATGTAATAGTATTTTGTGCGCGTCCGAGATTGTGCATGGCACACTCACACGCACGCGCATACATATTTAGCTTAAAATTTATGTTGCATATTTTTAAGCGCTCATGCAAGCAAACCAGCGCTTGCTGCTCTACGAGCATAACCATATTTTAAGTTAAAAATACTATAAATCATAACTTTTAGACATGAGTAGTGTATGTTGTTTTCGTTGTTGTTGGTACTTAGTTTATGGGTGTCAAACGAGTTGATTGCATTTCAAGCGCCAACCCCTTGAAATATGCAAAGATATTTTGCAATACTAAAAGAGCAGAAATATTTATAAACTATATGCATATATTTTTTATATGTGTATATATATGTATATAAAACTTTATGTTTATGTGTGTGTGTTTTTTTTTGCTCGTGTGCCGCGTGAATAAAAAACACTTTTATGTGTGTTGTAAAAATTTTATAGTAAACATTTAGAGTTTTCATTAAAAATGTGTACACACATACACGAGTGGGTGTAACGAATTCGAGTTCTTGTACTCTTATATGCCGTAAAATATGCAAACTAGTTTATTCGTATAAATTGAGCATATTTTTAGGCGTTTGAACTTTTTTGTTTTGCTAGTGAAAATATTAAGAACAAAATACGTGCAAAAGCAATACAATCTAAATATTTATATTTAGTAACAGTGATAAAATTAATAAAAAAATTTAATCCCAAAAGTATGCAGCGTTTTAGTTAAACACTTTGAAATATATGTAAATAAATTTTAAGAAGAAAAAAATATACAACTATCTATTTTCAGATGGGAATATACCAGAATTTTACTATTCCAATTGAATTAAAAAGTTTCTAATTTGTATTTAAAGCCAAGCAACGAAACTGAAATTAGAATAGAGTAAGTCGAGCTAGAACAGACTGAGCTGACGAAAAAAAACCTTAATAAGAAGACTAAACGAATTTCTGTGCAGAAACTACACTTTGTTGACAACCGCAGCAAACAGTTTAAGCAGGTTGTTTTCGTCCTTGCTAAAACTGAGATTAGCATCCCCGTCACCCAAAAGACGCGATGAACTAGAAAAGTACCGAAGATATTAAGAGCTTGTGATTTATGCTACAGTAGACGTTTTAAAAAGTAAAAATTCTCTATGGAAGATATCTTTAAAAGGAGAACTTATCACCAAGTGCTATCGTTCACCTCGGGGTACTTCAAAGTATCCTTGATTTAAGTCACGTCACCACTGAAAAGAATGACGAAAAATTAGATTCCTTATGATTATCTGTGCTGCGCTCGCCTCGATGTTAAAAATGTGCTTGATGACTTAAACATATTGGTGGGCAAAGAAGGTATGCTCATTACTTGAAAATCCGAGTCTGATAGACTTTATCTGGGCGCAAAATGTGGTTGAAGTTGTCTGCAAAAAGCAAAAGCTGGTTGTCCACGGATCAAAAACACTCTACCAAACTGGCCGTATTTTAGAAGTACGTATTCCTGACATCATAAAACTGACACAGACCATTATTTTGACGCACCCAAAATGAGCATCCGCTTCTGTGCAGCCCAAAACGTTCATTAAAAGATACAGGGAAAGTTCGCCATCGAAAAGAATAGCAGAAAAAGTCGACTTCTGGGCTTGCTCTTTAAGAGCACTTCTTACCAACTCGGTATAAGGGAATTGAGGGACTCAATTCAAGACAACGACAGAAACAGACGGTCGATCTACACACATTACGATCGGTCATATTACATACCGATTGCCACCATTGAATGGCGCTGATGGAAAAGAGGTTCCACCACCTAACTAAAATGAAGTTCGAAGAGCAGTTACACGTCTGGAAGCAAGCATGGCTGTGGTTTTCAAATATGATGTTGAAGAACTGACGAAGTCGAGCGAAAGCGGGCTTGACCTGCAGTGTGGCCTCCCTATCTATAGTTATTAATAGTGTACTGTGGGAAAACTAAAGCCAACCGCCAGCGAATCGATTGGAACTCTGATCAAAAGTAGCCAAAATAACTTTCTTTGGGATGAGGAATTTTGAAGTGTTATCATAAATTTACACTGACGTAGAATGAACCCAGTAGCTGTCATTTATACAGAGAAGAGGCGAAAGAGACTTGAACTATTTGGCACTAATTGAGGTGACTCTTATAATTAATTTAAAATTTTTTCAAATAAGTACAAATTTTATATTTGACCTCTTGAAAATATACTTAAATAATTTACCGTTATATGCGTATTCGAAATACTTCCACTTCTATAAGTTGAACTCCTTATCAAGATGATCATCATGCCAACATTAATTTTTGCTGCATACATAAGCATTCTTCTACTCATCTTGACTTGCCCTAAAACCCTTGGCACTAACCACAATATGTTTATATATATATATATATACAGAAAAACACCAGCCACAACAAAATGTAGTTGTTGCCTGCTTTAGTGTTGTTTGACAATCACAATAAAAGCTTTTAATTAATTTACACTCAAAAGTGAGTATGAAGGACGTAGAAAGAGAGGGAGGCAGGTAGTACGAAGCTGTTTGCAACTTTCTTCAGACTTGTGTGTGTATCTTCGCTTAGTGGAAAATTTTGTAAGAAAAACTATTTTCACGAAGCAATGTCAATAATGCGGCAGCCGAGAAGAGAGATATGAAGAAATATACGTATAAAAAGGCCAGAGGGCCAGAAGGAAGATGAAAAAGGGTGGAGTATTGGCAAGGGTTCTGGAGCTACGTGATATATTGAAAAATTTCATGTGCTAAGCGGAGAGT